CGGATGCTGTGCTGCCTGATCGGTGGGCGTTAGGTACTCTGCCTGTTGCATGAAGGCCGTCCAACACAAGTCTCTGCTTCTAGAAATACGATACCTGCTGCTTAAATCTCTCAAGAAACGATGGAAACGCCAATAAAATGGATTTTGCCGTCAGAAACTACCGGAAAATTGAGTCAGACGAGCACCCGTAAAATGAAGAGGGACCACATCTTGGCCCCCTTATACGCGCATTGAGACTATCTTCCCATTGAAAGCTTCGCTGTGAAAAAATTAACGAGAGAGAAGCAATGCGCCGAAAGCCTCCACGTCCTTCCTCAATTTCTTGCGATCTTCATTGAGCTACGCGCGACTCCAGTCAAACAAATGGTCAAGATAATTTTGGCTGAAGAAAGGCGAATCCGCGTTCATGATCAGTGTAAAAATACATAGGATAATGGCGGTCTTACTCGGAGATAATGGATTTGTCCAATTAGTTTCCTTCGAGTCTAGCTAAGGAAGCGGGCCGTGCAGCATCGACTGTATCAGGCCGAATTGCATTTTGGCAGGTTCAAGGCTGCCTGCTATACTGACCAAGAAGGCATTGAGAATTGACTTGGTTGCTTACTTGTGCATATTACTCATTTATTACAGAGGAGGACTAGCCCAAACTATGAGAATAAAAGCTCTTCGCTCCTGTGCGCGGTGTTGCACATGCAACTGAGAGCGAACGCATAAAGCTCTGTGATTCACGGAGGGTGCAGCTCTGCGCACCTCAGCTGTCCACTTTGCCCTTAGGCAGACATACTGAGGAGGAAGGGAACAAGGAAAGCAGGGTATGGTTCTAACGGGGAGCACTGAAAGACAGTCTTTTATGTTTTTGCTGGTTTGGGAATGAAGTTGTGACGCTCCGGCTTCTAGGCCCTTTCTAGGTTTCAAATCCAAACCCATAGCAAAAGTTTATACACAATTAGTGGGTGCAGCTCTTAAGGATATCTTACCCCCGTTCGTGCCGGCCTTATGTCGAAGGTTCTGACATGAAGTGCGACAGAGGAGGCCCTTAGGGTGCATCAGTGTCGTTCCCCCTTTAACCACCTGCATCAAACAATGCTAATTTCGAAACACGGCCTAAAGCGCACAGGCACACAGCACTGATGCCTTTTAGCTTGGAGCTAAGTGTCCTCTGCTACAAATAACATACACTAGCAGCCATATCAAATTGTAGTTATTCCTATTTCTTTGTCAGATATAACCCACGTAGTTGAAACTGGCGAAACGTTGGTAAGCCCACTCCAGAGAGTCTTCGTATGAAGACTTTATGAGGAGCCACACAACGGGCTGAGCACTGCAGAGAATATAGTATACTAGCTCCAAGAGCATGCAGTAAAAGGATGGGTGATGCGTGCCTGAGTTTTTATGCAACTGAGTACAGCTCTCTGCAACTGGCTGTATGCACAAATACAGCAGTCCATGCAACTACCTTGGCAGTGCTCCTCCTTCTCCCAAGCAAAAACTGTGTGGATGGGGGCAGAAGAAGCACTTCTTGGAGAAAGGCTGGAAATTTATTTAGGCTGAGTTAATGGCTCTCTATATGCAGGCCCAAGCAGGAAGCATTACGTATTAGAACTGCATAGCTTAATGTGGCTAATGCGACACCACCCATGTGGATGGGCTACGGCAGAACAGGCTAGTTGCATGTACAAAATTTGTTGTGTTGATTCAGTAGCTCCTGAGTATGTGCTGTGTAAACACACTTTGGACGGCTTTTAGTAAGATTACGTTTTAAACGTTCTGAAGTTTGACGGAGGGGTGATGGCTAGAGGGGCAGGAGGGGCAGACCTAGATGCCAAAGTGAGGATATTAGCTTCATAGCATGTTGCGGAACAGAAGTTCTACTTTCCTGCCGAGCTTGTGGATAAGAGCGCGTTTACGCAGACCCTGGAGCATGGCTGCCGTTTGAACTAGCATGTGCTAACGAGCTTAGCTCTTGCTAAAGGCTTTCTTCCAAGGTTGCTTGTGAAGCAATTAGGTAACAGAACTCGAGATAACATACATTGTGAAGAAGGCGCACAAAAGAGGTGGCCATTTTAATGTTTGACACACTTCAGGTAGCAATCACTACAGCGCAGACCTCACTACACGCACTTTTGTTGGTTCAGACGAGGTTTCATGGGCAGAAAGCCCTGGAAGAACTTGATATCTTTGTGGCTTTGTGCAGTGAAGATTCTTAGGCTTGCGATGTAGATATCCATGAGCTTGGCAACGAAGGCGGTACTTGGTGGATGTACAGATTGTCCTCCTGATATTTATATCTTGCCTGTTTTGTACTAAAGGCCCCTCTCTAATAATATATGCAGCAACCTCACATTGCTGGAAGCCCGATCCGCTTTGCTTGCCCTTTACTCAGCATTTAAGTGTCCATATTCACCTAACGCGTTGAAGAAACCAATGAAGCATATGAAGCCAGGACAGTTATATCCATCCCCAGCATTCAAGGGGGAGCATCAGAGGATATGCAAGAGGCGTACCGCTCCAGAAGAGCCTGCAAACGGATTGCAAAGATGTGAGCTTTCGTACTGCAAACGGATACCTTATTTGGGATCATAAGCACGTGCACAAGGCCAACGCACCTGGGAGAGCGAGCGCATAAGGCTTGCCTTTGGTAGAGGCTACTATGCATTGGGTTAAAAACCGGGGTTTACAACGCTTGCAGGAGACTCTGTTTTACTCCCAACCGCAAGAGTCCCCTTAACTCTGTATTGTGCTTCCGATGTTCCTACTTTAAAATCAAAGCATGATAATCTTTGCACGCGCAGTGAGCTTCCAGCTGCCTTAAAGAGTCCACGGTGTCTCTGCGTCCTAAGTGAGACTGAAGTACTTAGAGACAAACTTCGGGTTGAGAAGGAAACGCGGTTGAACCTAAGGCTTACTCTACAGTAGCTTTCGTCCGTGATAACACAAAAAAGGGCTTTAAAACACTTGTTTTTATGAGCGTTTAAATTTTTTACTTCCTGACATCGCCAAGATCAAAGCAGGAGAGTGAAGTGTTACAGCGTCGATGCGGGCATGCGTAGCATCCAACAGAAGCATGAACGGTGGCAGTGTCACTTTTCGACTTTGCTGTTGAGATGCGCTTTATATCAGGCTTATAGCAGTGCCTTCTTGCACATGGCTGCATCCTTACTCCTGACTTTGCATTTTTTCTGGTTGGGTGCGTTGTGGCCTGCGCAGCACAGCTGCCTTATTCAGGTCCAAGTAAAGACACCCTCAGCCTTCACGCGCCCTCAAAGCAGCCTTTACATGTGAACCGTTTATTGCGGAAAGGATATGGAGAAATCTGTCGAGTGGCTCTGTCTGCGGACTCTCGGACAGAGAGGGCCATTAGAGTATTCAGGCAATCGGGCTCAGATTAGCAAATTGGTTCGCTCAACATACGCGTAGCGGGAAAGTGTAAATCACTCGCGCACGTAATCTACAGACCTCACTTGCCCTTTTGAAGTCTATTTTGGGATAGACAGCCCATAGTGGCCTTTGGGCTTTGGCATGACTTCTCAGCCCGCCTGTGTGTTGACAAGAGCAGAATACAGCGCACCCCATAGAGGCTGAAGGGCAGGTAGAACCATAAAGTGCATTCGCACACAATATTTGGGGATCTATTTTGCCGTGAGCATACCGCTTGCATCAATTATCTCTACTGTGGTGAAAAAAAACTAGTAGAGAAGTGTAGTAGTGCAGTGGAAGAATGTCTCTTCCATTATTGTTCAGCAGGAGGAGCGATCCACCAATCCTTACCTGGACCTTCGCCGGAATCAACAGTCCCGCAGATGGCCTGAAGATTCAACGAGCGGCTGTAAGTGAACGAATGTGTTCTTGAAAATTCTGCAGAAAGTGCAGGCACTAAGTTGTGGCAGGCCGTGGTCAGTCGCACGTTTTCCACTTGAGGCTTTGCTTTCAGTAAATTGAAAGGCCTGTAGCGTACAAAGAAGGACGATCAGACGAAGAAACTAGCGAGGCAATGGCTCGAACCTGTGGCGATTCTCTCATCACTTGCTGCCCTTTCTTTACCATCGATACAAGTGGAACTAATGAGTTTTCTACAGCATGTTTGGCCCTCTGTGCATCTAGCGCGCGCACACTGATATCGGTAGGCTGTGATGAGCCTAGATGGACTGGAAAGTCCGCAAGTAACAAATTCTAGGCACAACTGGTGGACTGTGTACCACAAGTTGATAATGATCATGGCAAAACAGATCCATTCTAAAGGCCATCCCGCAAGTGGTGGCTACGACTTGAGTTTGTGGAAATGAGACCATGTGAAGTCAGACTCTGGAGGGGCTGGTGTGGGCATGCCTACAGTCCGGAGTCAGTACAGCGGTATCTGGATTCAGCGTCACCGCGACAGGCCTTCGCTGTCTTGGGTGTGTGCCGGTAGCAATAGCAACGAAATTCTGCCCTACTAAGTGCAAATAAAACCTTTACACTCCAATACTAAGTGCCTGAAAAGTGTACTCTCCCATAGCGTCGTCATCTATAGTATTGACGCCATTTCTATTGTCTGTTGCATACTGAAATGCACATGCTGGTTTTAGGGGACGTTTCGCTTACAAGTGCGCATGTTTGCTGTTTCGCGGCTTGCCACAGCCTCAGTTCGATGAAACATATTACGGCTGTCAATGATCTGAAGAAAGCAAATAGCTATACTACAATGCCTATGCTGCTCATTTGTCCTTTTTTGTGGGTTACCACATATGAAATGACTGCTGAGCACCATATCTGATTTATTGATGCAGCTTTGCTTTCATCCTCTTCTTCTGTTTTGGGAAGAGGGACTGCAGTGTAAAACACTTGCCGATTAAAATAGGGAGGGCTTTTTCGATAATATGCCCGCGCTGTGCTGTGTGAAACATTGACAAGGCCACGAGCGCATCTCCACTGGCGAATAAAACTCATGCAACAAGCAGAGCTCCTACTAAACGCAAACGAAGGGCTATCTTACGGATTAGTTTGCACTTCAATAAATTACATTACTTTGTGTGTGGTAGTGCTTGAACGCCTATATAATGTGCCCATTGAGAGCATATATAGCATTCTCCCAGGGAAATTCACAGGACATGCATCCGCAGAGTTTGTGTGTGTGTGTGTGTGTGTGTGTGTGTGTGTGTGTGTGTGTGTGTGTGTGTGTGTGTGTGTGTGTGTGTGCTTTTTGCTCTAGTAGGTTTGTGATACGCACATAGGATACCTCCAGATACGAGGAAGATCACAAAGACTGACAATACGACAACAGCCCAAACCCATGCCGGAGTATCGCTGGTTGCGCCGTTCGCGAGAAAGACTGCTATCTGCTCGGATGAGGATTTGTCTTGGCATTCCCAGGCCCCAACCTGCGTTGTGCTCTTTGAGCAACTTTTGTAGCTCCCACAAGTCAGACCCAGTACCGTGCAAGCCAATTCTTCCTTGCCCTGAAGAGCTACGTATTCATCGCATTCACACAAAAAAAGCTCCGGGCTCAACGAGAAGTAGCTTGAAACCTAAAGTAGCCACTAAAAGCTGCATGCCCTAAGCTGATGACTGGACGTCCTAACGGTCGTAAGAAAAGCAAAACTGGTAGAATAAGTGTAAACTTACGTTCGCATGTGTTGACGGTTCCTGCTCCATAAAATCCAGAGATGCACTCGCACTTGAAGGATCCAGGTATCAGAGAGCATGTGGCAAACTTGGTATCGCACGCGTTCTTCCCAGTGCCACAGAAGTCCTCAGTGACACAACCACTACCCGACGAGTCAGGCTCATAACCAGCCCCACATTCGCACTTGTAAGAGCCGGGCAGATTTGTGCACACCGCATTGCTGGGGCAAATGGACGGGTTTTCGTTGCATTCATTAATATCTGACATGATTCACAATACCCACTTGTTCAAGCATTTATATGCGATGCTGGAAAGGTAAAGGCAAAGAAGACACATGTTAGAGTCCGAAAACGAAGCGAAAATGCTTGTAGTATTTAAGGTCCTGAGTTTGGAACATAAGGAGTGGCTGCTTGAATTTGGAGCTGTAATGTTCCATTGTCGATTGTTGATTAAAAAGGGCTCTCACCTTTGCAGGCCACTCCCGGTTCCTCGTTATTGCCAGTCCATCCCTTATGGCAGCGGCACAACTGCCTGGCTCCGTCCTGGTTGATGCAGTCACTGTTCTCATCGCACCCCCCTCTATCGGTTGCACATTCGTTAATGTCTGAACAACCAAAACAAAAAGTAAAAGCTATTGTAATCCACTTACATGCAGCACAGCGGACTGCTTCCCTTGTGAAAAGGTAACGCAAACATTGTATAACAATTGAAAACACAACTTGTCATGCGAGTATTTCATGCCCGGCGATCCTGCCAGCTACTTTGATATACGGAGAGTGTGTGATGCTGTTTAAAAGTGTGTGAATGATGGGCCATTCACGCGTCTAATCTGGCATACCGACGCATGTCCCTCCTTTTTCTTCGCGATATGTTCCACATCCACATTCATAACTACCAGGCGTGTTTACGCAGTCACTCCCTTTCTGCTGACAGTTGTCGAGGCCTCTCGCACATTCATCAATATCTGAAGAACAAGGGTAGCAGCTGTACCATGAGGCCAATTCTATGACTGGCTTTTAAGCATGAATATGCAATGTACTAGATTCTGTGAGTACGTTGTGCATGTCTGCCTCCTCATAAAGGTGCCATGCTGCATGAAAAGATTTCTAGAGGAAATAGAGTTGTACCCGCATAAAACCCCCCGCAAGTTCAGACTCACCTTTGCAGGTCGCCTTCGTGTTTTGCCCATCGGGCTCATAGCCCGACTGGCAGCTGCACCAAAAATAGTCGGAGCCATTTTGGCATGACACGGCCTTCTCAACGTGTTCACAGAAGGTCGACCCGCCAGACGAGCACGCTGTGGCACCATATTCAACAAATAGTGGCAGAAAAACAGCCTCACGAAGGCGCACTGATTACGGCCTACACCATTGATGTTGGGCACACAACGACAAAAAGGTCTTTCTACCTTAGCGAGAGTGTTCTTATATGAACTGTATAGATGAAACTCGTTCTGAGCTACAAATTTTGGTGATCTACTCCTCACGAGTGCTGTTGTTGCCTCCCATGGTGAATGAGTCTCGACTCGTGCTGGGTCACGGCGTTCTTCCTGTTCCCTACGATGTAATTCGCCTGTCTGGCGGGGCGATTAAGTCTCCTTTGGACACTTACAAAAGGCATGAACAGGCAGAACGATGAACAGAAAGGGGGAAGGAGTTGAAGGTCGAGCTCGCTTCAGCTGCCCAATTGGTGAACAATCGGGGGATTAGATGGTTGGCTGAGGCTGGAAAGCACGCGAATCCTTGGGTATTAAAAAAATGACATGGCTTTCCCCATGGCCTGAAGAAGCTAAAGGAAATAGATCAGGATTGATTCCGTTGAAAATAGACAATTTGGGCGCCGCTGCTGCTTGACATGAGACTGCAATCGCTACCTGCTAGTTCTCTGCAGCTTCCCGAAGGCCTCCACCATCAAAGTGTGCATGCTCCGAAACAATATTTTAAATCTCAAATATCCTGAACTTTTAGTGTACAGCTGCTATTATTGATAGGAGGAGAACACACTCGCGATGAAACTGAATACAACGGAGTACTGTTGCCTGATCCCGTACTATGGCGAGTCATAAATGGCCCGGTCCACTTGTCGGCCGACTATTTTTCAGATAGCAGAGCTGTTTTCCTTATGATCACGAAGACTACCTTTTCCGGCAACTTCCAAAAGCGATTATTTGCCACTGCTGCAGTGTGCATCGTCTTCCCCGGCCGAACGCACTCCATTCACAGGCGTCGAACTTTCGAGAGACAACTTGCACAGGCTTGTTTCAGGCACTTAGTTGTATATATGTACAGCCGTCCGCGTGATTGCGTGTCCATTTGATGTAGCGGGCCGCGGACTCAGGAGCTTACTCATTATTTCTACAGGAGGAAGCAAATTCGTGCGCACCCACTACATTGAAGGCTGTGCAGTGGGTGTCTGCATATCCATTTGTAGGGGACACCCCAGACATAAAAGCTTCCCAGTATTGTCTACATTAGGAGAAAGCAACTTTTTCGTACGCAGCCACTACATTAAAGGATAAGCACGTGGTCTTTGAGACCACCGGAGGAAAAGGTTCCTACGATAAAAGGTGCTGTAGCATCTAACGGTTGTGAGTAGCCAACTCATCTGTGCCTAAGGTGGTGTTGCTGTGCATAATCACTGTGTATGCTACTTAGGTATTCGGCTCCCTATCTCGATCAATGCATTACCGTTCCACGTAATTCAGGAAGAGTCATTCTCGTCATTCAGTGTAACTCTCACCTTGAAAATAGCAATTCGTATCATCCCACCCACTCGAGCATACCACACTTTATACATAGTTGTATAAGAAACTGCATAGAAAAAGCGGTGCTTTTACTTTGATACTACTATATAAAGACACCCGAATACTTGGCTGGTTGCCTCTCCACAAGGGTCATTGCACGCTGTCCGGCCTTTGAGAAGATAACATAACACCCGAGCTCCTCTGGGCGTTGATCAACTACTAACTGACGGCGGGATGCATTGCCATAGTTCCTAGCATATTGCTCGAAGATTTACGGCTCCGAGCATCCAATGTGCACCGTACAGGAAAAAGCAAGGCATGCCTGCATGTAGAATTGTGGGATTTTTATGGGCAGTAAATTACAAACTGTAGCAACCTAGGCACTGTAACCCCTATGCGATACATATATATAAGTGTATCTCTGGGCATAGCCGTGCGTGCATAAATATGACTTGTTGCTGTCCCTTGACGTTTGTTGTAGTTTGGGCCTACTAGTTTTCTCGAGTCAGGTCCTTGTACTCCTGGCTTTTGTATGTGTGCAACCTGGTGTCCAGGACTATATACTTGTATTTTTCCTAAGCTAATACCAATTAGCAACAGGTACTTCACGTGTTGTTAAGCATTCTACAGAAAATGCCCCGGCGGGCTCTCAGATCTGTGCGCAAGGGATCTGCAAAAGAAAGACATCCTTAGCCAGAAGCTTGATGCCTCAACATTCAAAAAAGTAGACTCCATGGCACGAAAACGAGTTAGAAACGAAAGCTTTCAGAACTCATTGCTGTTCAGTCAAGCCGTCGAACCGCATATCGATAGTAGCCCTACAAGGGCTTTACAATGAAAAGGCTTTTCGCGACCTCGATAAAGCGCTTAAATAATTTTTGGTATATATGCATCTCTTTTCGCTAATTTTGTTTAGTTCTATTCGACTCTATTTGCTCTGCGCCTCCATTGAGTTGGTGGCTTGTTTTAGGCTCTTCCTGGTGCTCGGGGAGATACACACTCCCAAAAAAGCACCGCGTTAGGTAGAGACCTTGCAGTTGCTGTTGCAGCTGCATGGCCTCCGACAGGGCGGGCGCAACTTTGCGGGATCGCTTCTTTCGTGTGCCGGATGGATGGTCATCAGTGGATCCCTGGTGCTGCCGAATATTTTCAGCAGGCCCCCTTTCTTCATCACTGTCAACCTCCGAGTTTCCAGCCTGCTCGATATCTGACGTCGGTTCTGCTCCATCTGCATCGGCTCCGCCTGCTTCTCCGGATCGCAAGAGCAGGTCGTCAGCGGAGACACCAGAGCCGGGGAGCCTAACAAGGCCCAGGTGCTCGAGAGTTCCAAGTGCCACACCGAAGCGAAGGAATATTTGATGCAGTAACAAAGTTGGCGACCCCTTGCTCCGCTCTGAAACCCCTGTCTCGGCCTCAGTTTGCAGGTCCTGCAGAGCCTTCAGCTCCAATGGAAGACGGTCGCTCGAAGACTTGCCTTCAAGCACCCCCTCTCCGCAGTCACCATTGCTGCTGCCCTTCTTGCCCCTGCGACCCCTGGCCTTGGCAGAAGCGACGCCTTGTTGCTTTGCTTGCTGCTCCTGCCGCTGCTCTTTCAAATGCGGCTGATTTTGTATATAGGTCTCAATAAGATCTGCGCAAAAGGAACAAAAGAGTGTCCATAGGGAGATTCTCCTAGTACCGAAGGCAATGCGACGATACAGGAGCCCACTATCGTCTGGAACAACGGAGGCCTTTCCCGCATTTGCTAGTTCATTTTCTCCTGCCTGCTGGTGGTACTCCAGCGCGCTGTTGTTCAGACATGCAAGCTGCTGCAGCACCTCAGCAGGCCTCAAGGGATGTAGTCGAGCCAACGCATCTGCAGCGCCTGCCTCTGCGCGGTGATGGGGGACCCTCGGGACCGCAAGGGCGGCAGCAAGATACTGTGGCTGCTCTGCCGCGCAGCAGGACAGAGACCATACACCCAGTTCGCAGCCTAGTGGATGCCACTGTGGCAGCGGCAGCAGGAAGTGCTGCAAACAATCTCTTGCCCAGTCCTGAAAGCGAGAGCAGAGGCTGCCCTCCCCGCCGCTGCTGCTCCTGCTGACAGTTGTACCGAATGTCTTTGCGAAGGAGGCTGTGCCAGTGCTCGCCCGTCGTCCAAGTCCGGAGATGAAACCGGGCCGGACGTCATGGCCTCGCTGTAGCTGCTGCTCGCACGCCTGCTGCAGCACGTTGATCAGTTTGTTCATTGTCTTGAAGAGCTCAGCAGCTTTGGCGGGTGTAGGAGTTGGCTGTTGCACCTTATACTGCAGCTGCAGGCGGCTCTCCAGCTGCTGCAGTACGGCCCACTCCCTACGGGACTGGCGGCTGAACTGATACAGCGCCCCTAGCAGCGCATTTGGCACTGCTGCCGAGCAAGCAGTTGTAGCGGCAGCGTTAAGTGCCTCCGACACCAGAGTCGTGACTAGGCCCCCCACACGGCAGCAAGCTCCCGCCACACGCCTCACTTCTTCGCAGACTGCAAAAAAAGCACAACAGATTCGCAAACGCCCTCTGATGCACCTCACGCACTACTCGACACTCCAGTCCCTCCCCAGCGTCGCACGGGACAGCCTTCTGGATGCGGGGGCTATGCGTCGCAGCAGAAGACGTACTGAGGGAGACAATACGCGTCGCTGCAGCAGACGACACTGCCTTTCCTTGCAGCAGGTAGTCGTGGTAACCAGGCGTCCGGTAGCCTCCCAAAATCTGCAGCAGCAGGTTCACTGCAGGGAGGGCACTGCTGCCGCTGTCCGTGCTGCTTAGGGCAGCGGCTGTCTCGGCTGCACTGAGAGCAAACGCCTGCCGTTGCTGCAGCACATGTTGCTGCAGGATCACCAAGAGCCGCATAGCCAGACTTGCAGCAACGCGCCGCTCTAAAACCTGCAGTGCAGCAACCGGTAGCACTTGCTGCTGCAAGATTTTTCTACGGGTTTCTGTGGAACGCTGCTCCTCTGCTACTGCAGACACAGCAGGACTACCCCACCATTGCTGTAGCACGGCGGAAGCTCTTGCGATGGCTCCACACGTTGGAATCTTGATGCACCCTTCCCCGGTTGGCGCCGATCGGTGTTGTTGCTGCTGCCTTTCAGACCTAGTAGCCTTGCAGCAAGGCAATTCCAGCTTGCTTGGGGCAACAGCGAGCAGCTCCGCATACAACAGCGGGAACTTGCTCATCTGCTGTAGCAGCGCTGCCTCCTGATGAGGCGTTAACACGGCGGCAGCAAGCAGTGCGAGACGCCTTTCGAGCGCCTCAAAGTCTACAAAGTCTCCAGGAGAGGCAGCGTCGGCATCCGATGCTGAGGCTGCCTCTTGGCTGCTGCAGAGTCTGTTGTGGCTCCCCCGCACCACAGAGCGCACCCCGACGGAGAGGAAGGAGAACGGGTGCTCTGCAAAAAACTTGTAGAGCAGCATCTTAAGAACCCTCAGCAGCTGCAGAACCGACGCCCCTTGGTCAAGCAGCAACTCCTGAAGCTCTTCTATAGCTGCTGCGGGCAGCACAAAGGGGGCACTGGCAGGGCAGCACAGCAGCAGCTGGAGCAGCGCGTCATGCACAGCAGACGGCCGCAACAACACTGCCGCATCGATCTGCAGTAGCCGCAGCGCTGTGGGATCTAGTAGCTGCTGCACCGCAACAGCAGATGCAGCAGCAGAGGCAAGAACCAACACGGGAACTCCCTGCTGGACACGCAGCACTGCTAAAAGAAGCAGCAGCTGCGAAAGAACGCGAGGCGCAAATGACTCCAGCTCTTCCAACACAACTACCAAGACGCTGCTGCTGCTGCTGCTCGTCCGTATTGCCGCGGCATTGACGTCATCATCGCTGTTGTCTTCAGAAGCACTGGATTCGCTGCTGCTGCTGCTGCTGCTGCTTCCCACAGTTGCTGCTACACGCTGAGAGCGCGTCCTTACAGCACCTCCCTCCCCGGAGCTGCGCCAGCTGCAGCAGAAGCCTCTGTTGTGCTTCTGTAGCTGCCGCTTCCACAACTGGCCAATTCTGCTGCTAACGTCGTGACCGACGTATCCGCCGTCCTCCTCATCTGCTGCACGCACTGCTCCTTGTGCTGCGGTGCTGTCATCAGCCACTCCCTCTAGAGACTGGAGGAGAAGGAGCAGCTGCTGCTGTGCATAAAATCCACGGGGCTCACCCCATGCAGCGGCAGCAGCAGCATCGGTGGCAAGTTCTTCAGGCAAGGATGCATCTCCAAGACACTCTTTCTCAGCCTTACTGCTGCTGCGGCCGATACAAGTGCTGCAGCAGCTACTGCCCTTGAGTTGCCCATACACGGCACGCAGAGCAGCCAGGGGGTTCGTGCAGTTGCTAGCCCTGAGCACAACTTGCCTAAGAAACAACTCTGCGTCGGTGCTGTTATTGCGGCTGGTGCGGCCAATACGACGCCCTCCGCAGCAGCACTTGGCTTGCTGCTGCAGCTCCAACTGCAGCATGCGCACAGCCAGCCGGTGGTCCTCAACATCTGCCCCTACGTGCATAATGACAACAGGGAGAAACTCGCAAAGAGTCCCCGAACTGCTGCCGCTGCTCGAGCGCTGCAGCAGCTCGAGAGCCCCGACGGCCGCGTGGGTGCGCACAATGCGGCAGATGCCTTCCAGCTGTTGCCGCATTGCTGCGGCGACCGCCGCCGCTGCTGCGAGCAGCAGCGCTCCCTGGTGTTCCTCAGCCCTTGTACAGCGCAGAAGAATAGAAGGAAGCTCTGCAGCAGAAGCAGGCGCGGAGTCATAGGGGTACCTCCCAAAGACTGGTGGGACTACTACAGACATCGGCGTTGGTCGACTTTTGGTGCTGCCCCGGCTTCCGCTTGCTCCCTCGGCTTCTTCATCATCTTCGAAATCCTCTAGCGCCTCTTTGAGAATCTCGCTGATGGGTTGCTGCTGCTGCTTCTGCTGGCGTTGGCGGTGGCGAGCCTCGCGAAGGGCTGGCTGTGGGACTCCTCCTATAGCAGCAAGAGAGGGGGGGCCCGTGGGGGGTGTTACTGTGAAGCAACACGTAGTAACCGAGCGGCTTTCCTTTCCCACACTATCGCCATACACAGCCCACGGCGCAACCGGCATTTTTGCAGCTGCAGCTACGTGCGCTGTAAGCTTGGCTTCTCCTGCTGCTCCCGCACCGCTGGATCCGCAAGTGCTTTATTGTAGCTCTAAAGAGGCGGCGCAGGTACAGATACCGAAAGCATCCACGGCTTGCGAGCAGCCAACCCGAAACCTTGCGCCAGGAGCCTTGGCCGACTCCTTGTCGTGAGCTGTCTCTCTGAACGCCCCCGTGGAGAACTCGCGTGCTTCGCGAGAAGCTGCTGGACGTGCTGCACCTGCAGGTGCCAGAAGATATTTGGGCACTACTAAGGAAGGCTCCTCTTGATCGCCGAGGGCTGGTACCCGGAGCCCCGGCAGGTTGTACTACTGGTGGGGTTGCGGCGCCCGCCGCTGGCAGCTTATGGTGCAAGTTTCCACGAGCCCCCTCACGTTATTCCTTGATACACTTCCTTGCAGAAAAAGAGGAGGGCCATCACACGTTAAACCAAGAGCGACAACAACGCCATCTTTACCTGAGAACTGCTGCCGGGGCCCCCTGCTCAGCCCCACATCGTGGCATCATAGCCAAGCGACGTGATATGGGGGCCTTCCAACCGCAACGCCTATTTTTCTCGTTCTAGGGTCTTTGTGGACGCCTATCGCACTGGGAAATCGCCCCCTTGCCCCTCTCTCTAGATGTATTCCCTGCTGCCGTTCATGTGTCAGGATTTCTAGACGTGGTCTCACACGCCTTGTGCCTAGGGGCCTTCAGAAAACCCTAGGAGAACCAAACTTTTCCCCCTTAATACAAAGAAGAGGGCTCGGGCCCCGCTGCAGCGCATCTGCTCTTCCGGTTTCATATGTATGAAGCTTGGCATCTAGCACCGAGTCCCTGGTAGTGGCTGCCAGAGTGGCGCTTCACCACCCCAGGCAGCTGCAACAATAGTACCCGCACAGGCAAGAGCAACAGCATCAGTCGAAGTAGTAGTAGAAGCAGCAGCAGCTGCTGCTGCTGCTGCATCTGCGGCAGGTGGAGTTGCGTTTGAACGGGTACAGGAGCGTTAGCACCACTGGCTGCAGGTCGCAACAGGCACCGCAACAAGACTAGGAGCAGCAGTTCGCATCCTCAGTAAGAGTACCTCGCGGATGACCACTCCCGAGGACATTGACGCGTTCTTTGACGCTCTTGTTGACAGCGTTGCTGCGGCAGATGATGCAGAGGAGTCGCAGCAACACACGGTGGGGCTCTCCACTGCGGAGTCAACTTCTGGAGGCTCTCAGGCCCTAGCGGCAGCATCCGAAAGCACAGAAACTGCACCTGATGCGGCTGGAACTGCCCTGGTTTCTTCCGATCCTGGGGATGCGCCCTCGACGCTACCGACGGCCCCTGTAGTGGAGCCTTCCCTAGGAGCTGCACCTGCAGCGGTACAGCCAGCAAAACCAGTAGCACAGCCTTCTCAGAGCACACTTTCAAAGCCACCAGACAGGCAGTGTGCCGGCTCATGTCCTCCTTCAGCGCCGCCGCAACAAGCCCCCCTGCAACAAGCGCCTCCTCCTCATCAGCAGCAGAAGTCTGATGAGGCATATGCCTGCGAGCCACCTGAGCTGCGCTCAGAGCCACCTTACGCATACCGGCAGTACGGTGACACAGAGGAAGGGAGACAGCAACATGCGGCGGATGCCGAGATGGAAACAGCGGCCCTGTGCAGCTCGGCCCTGGCCGTTTCCCGTCTCATAGAAAGCAAGCTCAAGGAAAATGAGCAAGTGCTCTTTGCCATTCACGAAAATATGACTGTACGTGAGGCACGCCGTGTCTCTATTCGATGTACTTTGCTCCTCAGTGACGTTTTTTTAACGAAGGGCTTTTCCCCTGTCCTCTTGTCTGTATCCATCAGCGTCAACCAGGTGGAGGATGCGTCTGGGCCTGTTTCTTGTGCCTCCAGGTTGGACGCTTTGGGGAGGCCCTTTGCTACTTTGAGCGATTACAGCAAAATCTGCTGTTTCTTGCCATGCTGGCGGACCAACATGTGCGATCGCCATCTCGCCCTGCGTATACAGGCTGCTTCCGCTCGCCTTTTTCGCAATGTCTCCCCCCTTAGAGGCGTGCTTGCTGGCCCGTATTTTGGCCGTGGATCGTCCTGCAAAGACTACTTCCAAGCTTTCTAAGAGGGCCTTGTGCGTGTGCATGCAGCGGGGAGGCCTTACTGAGGGATCTCTGGAGGCGCAGCAGCAGGCGTTCTACGGCAACCGCGATTTTTGGAGCCACGAAGAGATGCAGCGCCTGCATCACGCGTTGCGAACTCCAGGCCAAGGTAGGCAGAGGGTATTTAGACTTCACAGGAAACGTGGGGGCGTCGAAAGGCAGTACGTGCTGCTGCCCCCTCTCAGGGACGCCTTGCCTAGTGGCACACACACAGAGCATCCGAAAGCCCCTTCCTGCCGTTGCAGCTGCCACGTCTTTTCGCTGCGTTCCTGTTTATGTCGCTTCTCAGACTTGCAGCAACTGGCTGTTGCCGTTGGCAGCAAGAGCCCTGCACAGATCCTTTCCTACCTGTCGCATGCAGCAGACCGCCACCTTGTACATCGAGCAGCAGCAGGCCCTGCGGCTGCAGCTGTGGCTTCTGCTGTCACGGCCATTCCAAGTCCTGCTGTCGTGCCTCCTGTTCGTCCTGCTGCTGGCTCCTCGACAACTGGGCCTATGCAGTCCTCTGGTGCGACCTCCTTGTCTTTCTTGGCGCATAGTGACGCGCTGCGATATCTGTTGCACCCTCGTTCCATAGTGGCAGCAGCTTTGGTGCCGTTATAGAGATGCCGCCAGCGGCTTCAGACTCCCGTCAGGTGTTCTGCCTCCTACAAGCGCTAGAAACGCTTTTTTGCCGTGTCCGTCGCATGCATTTGGCCAGTATTATTGGGGTTGCTGCTGCTTTCCTGAATGCGCAGGCGCCTTGGTGCGTGTGGCATCTTGTGTGTCGTTGCAGGTGGAGCTGTTGCGGTTGCGCTGCAGCAAGCACAGGACTCCCAGAAGCCAGAAGAGCAGCAGAAGCTCCAGCTACCGCAGCAGCAAAACCCCGTGCCGCAGCTGCAACAGCAAGTGCCGCAGCAACCGAATCAGACTCCGCAGCCCCATACGCAGATGCCAGAACTGCGGGAGCAGCCTAGTTTGCAACAGTTCCAGCAGCAGCTGTATCCAGCAGCTACGAGAGTTCCAAGCTCCCAGGCGCTGCAGCACACTCCACATTTGGCAGCACCACTACTCTTTCAGCAACCCCCGTTGCAGCAGCAGACCGCAGCCGCACATGGTGATCCGCTTTTACCAAATACTGGTTTGCAGAGACAGCAGCCGCCTCTCTCCCAAACGGATTCTCTGCGGCACCAACTCTTACAGCAGCAACAAATTCAGCAGCCGCAGCAGGCGCTGCAGCAGCAACAGCACCCGTTGCCGACGCAACCGTCGCCTATGCAGTTCCCTCAGAAGGGTTCTTAACGCTCAGAGGCGCCCATATAGTTGCACAACTGTAACTTATGAAACGTACAGCGCTTTTATGCACTGAGGGTATTCATTAGCACTCTCATGCATGTTTCCTCCCTCCGTATCAGCTGTGTTACCGTTGCCGTTTAGACCTTGTCTTTTTGTTTGCTCATGCCTTTGTGCTGTTGAGCACGATGATATATGCTTTCTACCGCTCTAGCCCTACTTTCGCTTGAGTCTCCCTTTTAAACCCTTTTTCTCTGCCCGCTAACAATGCACTATCTTCCTCCGGGACTTCGTATCCGACTTCTCACAGATAGTCCAGGCTGCATTTGTCAGCAACTCACTCTACTTACACGGCGCCAAAACATTAGCTATCTACTCTGCCGCTGCTGCTGCCTCTATTACCAATGGTTTTAGCTGCAGTGGCTCTGCCCAGCAATCATACGTCTGACCGGTGTAGAACCCTAATTATAGCACCAGTGAGTCTCGGCCTGCAGTTTGGGTTCGGAGGTCCCAAAGGCCGCAGACCCTGAATTCTGCTTGAGATTAATTGCTCTCGGTAGGTTCTCAGTGGCTGAGCTAATAGGAGAGGACAAAGAAATCGCCAGGCCTCCGAAAGCTAGGTATAATGTGGAAGCAATACAGAGGCCGCGTAGCCCCTGAGTGCACCAAAGTGAATTCGTGTACAGCTACCAAGCAAGAACGCCGTTAGTGGCTTATGCTTTCTTTGGACACCTAACTCATATGCAGTGAGGTCTGTGGAAGATCCTTTAAATACTGTGCTTGCTGCAGCTTAATGCACACAGCTGGACTGCGATTAACAACTGCCTCAAGTGTCCCACCCAACTGCATGCGATACGCCGCACATAATGCAGCAGCTAGCTTATTGCTTCGTGCTTCCTTTCTTAATGTAGCCTGTCCTCGCCCACTTACAGCCACCTCCGCCCCCAAGCGTGCCCACTATGCTGCTTGCTCTTGCGGGGAGTCGTGCAATGCTCGTCCTCGAAGTGAGGGCCAACAGGGGGACTGTAACACTGGTGTGCTCGTTGAGGCTTCACTGATCGCTGCCCTAGGACTTTACTGGACGCTGGGTGCGGGCTGATGGGGGAGAGAAGATTTCACACACTTTGGATAGGAATCGGCTGTGGGGGGGCTTCGTGCCTGGCAGGTACTGCTGGAGGCCCGACGGGAATTGCTGGGGGCCGTGGTGGTGCTGCCTCTGGACAGGTAACTGCGGCGTCTCCTCTGCAGGTCTCCACCTACTGTCTCCGCAGTGACCATTACCCGCTGCTGCTGTTTGGTGGACGCACGCAAGAGCACCTGTAGATGGCTTTGGAGATGGTGTAGGCGGAGGCTCCTTGCTTTCACTGTTGGGGGCTTTCCTGGGGGCCCCTTCCACGCAGAAGCTGGTCCCTAGTGTACACTTAGTGCTGTCCCCGCCACTCGCGGAGCGCATAGTGCTGTTACTGCATCTAGGCTCGACGGGGCATCTCAGCCTGATCAGATTCGTTCGAGGAAACGCAGGCAGGCTGTGCTTCTCAGACTGCCATAGAAAACGCCTATGAAAGCTTGATGGTAAGAGAAGAACGGCACCTTATCCCTACCAAGGATTGGCGAGGACCTGCTCGGCCTTTAGGCGACCTTCCGGGTTGAGGACCAAAAGCCCTTGTAGCAGAGTTTTCGCTTCGGTGCTGAGGGACTGTGATACGGTGTATTCCCCCGCCGAGATGTTCGAGTAGAGCTCCCTGCGCAGGTAGAACGAGAGGACAGCAATCGAGCTCTGATCGAATTTGCTAAGCCACCAAAGCAGGGCCTGAATAAGCATACAGCAAGCCCTTCGGAACCCTTCGGATACTAAACTAGGTGTAGGGAGGCCTAATGTAAAAGGCGACCCGATGGGCTCTTCTGTGTCAAGAGCCGACAACTACGAAGAACCCATCGAATGGATTGCTAAGGCAACAAGACTTGCTTTCTCGTGGTGGTTTGGTAGGGGAAGGCAAGGGGAAAGGCGGCAGGTTGCAGTGTCAAACGGTGTCTAACAAAGGGTTGGGACAGAGGACTCCAGCCGCTGCTTTGGGTCAAGCACTCCTCACTCGGGTTTTTGCCCCTTAAAAGGATAGCAGCCGTGAAGCATCGCATAGAGCACAACGCCAAGAGACCACATGTCTGCGGCGGTACCCTCGTAGTCGCTCTTCTTCAGGATCTCAGGTGGCATATAAGACGGAGTGCCGCAGGCCATTCTGCACTTCACCCCTGGTTTCAGGAGACTCGCGAAGCCAAAGTCTATCAAGCGCACTCGGCCTGCAGAAATGGGAAAGAAGGCTCTTTATGTGATTCGCGGGCTGTAGTGCGTTTAAAGGTTCGGGAGGGGAGCACAGCTTGCAGAAACGATGCGATTCGTGTCAGGGACAGCGTATAGCGTCCTCGTTTCAGCGAATGCTTCGCATGCTGTGTTTTGTGTGCAGAAGGCGCAGAGCTGGGACATTTTGCCGATTTTCTGCAACTGTTTTTCACCCTTGTCATCGAGCAGCATGTTTTCGAGCTTGAGGTCTCTATGCACGACGCTTTGGGAGTGCAGATAGGCGACCCCTTTCGCCACGTCTGTAAAGAGCCGTCTTGCGCTTGCTTCAGAAAGTCGACCTTTGGGGTTGCTTCGGACCAGGCCATAAAGGGAACCCCCACTGAGGTGCTGCATTACAATATACAAGGCCTGTGGCTCATTAAAGCTACCCCCGTACTTGACGATGTTCTCGTGCTGTAGCTTCCGCATTATCTGCACTTCGCGGGTCACCAGGGCTCTCTTGTCTCTTTCCATTTGACGGAAACCCTCGTAGATCTTTACCGCCACAGATTTACCAGTAGCCTAAACAGGGAGCCACTTTTCAAGCACGAAACTGTCCCAGGATAAAGTACTTATCCGACTTAACTAGCAAGCTAGATACTATTATGCAAACAGCTCTACGGGTAGCCTTAATGGGGCCAGAGGACTTGCGTTCAATGTAATCAGGACAAGAACGGAAGACAGACAGGCATATAAAAAATAGCAGAGAGTAATAGCTATCGAAGTGAGCTCCGCCGTTTTCATGGAGTGCTAAATTGCAGGCCTGGTACCGCCTTTTGTTTTCAGGCCTCCCGTGTCTGCCACGTTCAGAAGACGAGGTCATTACGGCCTCATTTTGCATTGTTGTCATTGAATTCGAAGCCATGGTGTTTGAATTCAGCGCCTATTTTATGGCCAGACTTTTCTGGGCCTACCTTGTGAACCGCTAGGTGGACGGGCGCATACGCACCCTTCCCGATTACATGGCCTAAGCTGAAGGTGTCAGCAAAGCGACTCTTGCTGCTGTCTCCTGGGGAGGCACGCTGATAAAAGCAAAAAAGCAGAGCGCAACAGTAATGGCTTTCTCATCCCCCCTGATTTTCCTTGACTAAAGCAGGATGAAACTTTTATTCTGAGGAAGTACGCATCTCAGTTTGCTGAGGCCACTCATCCCAACATAAAAGAAGGCGGTTTACTTCGAGCTGCCAAAGATCAGACTGGCGTTTGGTGGGTAAGCCAAAAAAGAAAAGGGGTCATGGGATATGTAATAAGGCTGGAGCAGGTGCAGATCGAGAGACGGCATAGAGAATGAGGCTGGCATACACAAAGTGCCAGGTAGTCTGTGCCTTTACGCTATGCATGAGACCCAGTTGCCTACAACAAGCTGTCTGCCTTACGGGACCCAAGGTCATTGGGTACAGGACATCTTCTGTTCTTGAATATGGTGGTTTTTCATTTTCGCTCCCCGATTGTGGGATCCCTTGTCTTGGAGCATGGGAAAACAGAAATAGTTCTCTTTCGTCCGACGGGCTCCGTAGCACCTGCGGCTTTTGCGCTGCACCACCTCTACCGTGAGAGGCGCTGCAAGCCGCAGTCGTATCAAGGAATGCCCCCTTTTTAAGTGGTAGCAGGCCGTTCCCGAGCTTAGTCGCTCGCCCGTTCCTAAATGCCTCTTTGCCGCTGGTCTAAGGTACCCTGGTGGCACAAGACCTAAGCTATACCCAGCTACGCAAACAGCCAAAGACCTCTACTGATTCAGTACTAATCGATGCACGCCGCTAAAGATCGTCACACGCGTTTTAGCGTCAGGGCATAGGGCCAGCAAGGGATTATTTTTGGAGGAGAAGGATGGTGGGCTCGGCAAATTACAATTCGACGCCTTCGTATACATCCATTTTTTTAAAAAAATGCAGAGCAATCTAAGGTCAGAGGCCCTGACAGCCTTGAGGCATTCGATGTGGTTAACGCCGGAGGTGCTACAGATTTACTGTACTGGGCCGTGCGCGACTGTGCCCCCGTGCACGCACAGCATACCTTTGTTCTGGTGGGGCCGCAGGCAAATCGTTCTTGCCATTCTGCAGACAGCATGGGACAAAGTTTTTCGGTTGGTTTTATCTAGACTCCAGAGCCTGTTGCCACCTTCCCCGCTTTGAGAAGCCCTGTAGACACTTCAGTAGCATCCAGTATAATCAGAGCCTTTTAAAAAGCAGCATTACAGGTAAACGAAGCATATGCCTTGCATTTTGCCAGAAGAACGAGTCTACATGGCTTTTTGGTCAGAGTTCCTGTAAGGGTCACTTCGGCGCAAAGGCTTGGCCAGCGCAAGACCCTCTGTATCTGTTGGGCAGCTATTCTTGTTTCTCAAATGCCAGAATACACTTCAAATAATCTTTTTTGTCTTCTCTGTTTAATGCATCTTGTATAGCCGGAAAATAGGATACGCAGGCATCCCCCTGGGCCCCCACACTAAAGCGACCAGCCATTCCAAGCTGCGTCTGCCAGCGGCATTAAGGGCTCACTAGAGACGTAAAATTCAGGGGACATGCCAGTTGTATGGCCGCGACTCACATTTAGCATCGTACACCTCCGTACTGATAGGGACTTAGGGGCTTCTGCCACCCATTGGCGCCGCGACCCCTGGCTCAGTAGTTCCCAAGCGCTCGCCCTCCAGCCCTTCTGTGCTGCAGCAGAAGGCGAACCCTGATTGGCCTAGGCACCCTATGAGCGGGCCTCAGTGGGCTTAAATTTATCCTCCATCTACCTTCTTGGGCCTTCATAGCGCAGGCAGGACGGTGCAAATCGCAAACCGTGCAGCAGCCACTGGCTGGTGCACTGGCTCCCGATGCCTACGCGCTGGGAGGCAGTTGAAAGGAGGGGCCTTCCAACAAGGGTATAATTTGTGATGTAACGGTCTCGGTACCCTTGCAACCACTTTTTCATTAAACACAACCGACTGCTTGGCCGACTTCGTGTCATGGCACGCATTAAGAGCCTACCAAGCAGTCCATGGAAGGGGCAGGCTTCTACAGAATACTGCTTGATAGGGGACCAGGTAATGCATATTTATTCCTTTACATGGCAGCATTTGCTTGGCACACGAAAAACTGGAACGCGCCTTTTGTGGCCCTATAGTAAATGTACCGTTTCATCGAGAGTACTCTTGGCGTGGCACTATAGATGCACTTGTATACCAACTCAGTGCAAGCAAAATATTAAGTTCTTGACTTATTTTCTACGAAATAAGCCTTACCTTCCCTTGCCAAGCATCCTCGAGATTCTAAAAACAGCGGAAAGGGACAGGTGAAGTGCGCGTCGCTGTGCCCTTCAAGCACTAAGCATTCGCAGCTAGCTGCACACACCTTATTGCACATAGGCAAATAAGATTGCGTCTTCTTGTATTCGAGCTAAAGATACACTGCACAAGATAAAATATAAAAATAAGAAGACCGATTTGTCAATTCTCTACTAACTCTTGGCTAAACGGAACCAGCGCGCAGCCCGCTGCGCCCCCATTCTAAATGCACGTTCTTATGGTGCGCACCTGTCCACCAAGAAGAACAGAGTGAAGGACAAATGAAGAGTTCCCACTCCGTTGTCACTCATTAGGCAGGCAGAAACGCGAAAACAGCGCAAATGAGATCAGCGAAAATGTGCGTCAAACAGTTGAGTGAAATCGACTTCAGCACAGACACACATACTAGCCACTCAGCGAAACAGGACCAAACCAACGTGATGGCGCGAGCGCGATGGCTCAGTGTCGCCCGAGCGCTGAAATATGTAAGCCTCCTGCAACAAGACAACAAAAGGAAGTAACATGTGCAAAGGAATTTAAAATACGCACTAGTTTAGCAATTCCTCCGCACCTCTTAGATGCAATGCCTGCAAGCAAATACAGCTGGAGCATGCAGCGTAGTCGAGTCCCAAGCCCCGAATAATGCATAAGTCAGAATGTAGAGAGAACTACATCGAAAAGACCTTGGCACAAACCCGAGTGCAGAGAGCAGCTTATCGATAAAAACCGGGAACAGTCCAAGTACTACCATTAGAAGAAGGCAGCTATTTCAGGTAGTACAGGCGCTAGGGAAGGCCTATTACTAAGAATGTCGAGAAATCGCGTCGACGCCTACTAGTGCTGTGAGCGAAAACCAGCCACCGGTTCCCCCGTATTCGACAACGCCCGCAACTGCCTTTTCGTTAGTCACTGAATTTAGAGGTTCCCAGACCATTTTACTGGAGACTATGATTAGGTGCCCTCGGCACTGAGTAAACCTCAAAGATCGCGAACTTCAACAGCTCCCCGTAGGTACTCCAGCAATACACAATTCTCTTGCCTGCGAGGCAAAGTTCGCAAATCATTTGGGGACCCTCGAAACTCCTTCGGAAACCAAAAGTTGATAGTTCTGCGGGACCTTCAAATTTGAGGCAAGCTGCTAGGGTATGAATAGCATTGATTCACATGAGGATGGGAAGTGTTCCTAGGCACCTGGGTAAACTTAATAATATGGACAACTTCGGAGCACCACTCAAAGGCTGCCGACCCACCAAGGCCAAATATCCTAAGTTTCAACACAGCCAGCCGCCGCTTTCATATTTTGTCTCTGTCTTTCTTGAGCTGTGCGCTTAAATTTGCTTGCACAAGCCAACTTTTCTCTATATACCTTCGCTTACAAGCGTTGCTACTGAATCCGGACCCATTGGTCTAGGCCTGGATCAGTGATGGACTCCTCTGTGTGAACCAGGAATGCATAATGGCAACACGTAGTCGAATATCATGTTGTATCATAACTCCATTCTGCATGTGGATGAAGCATAAGTCAACTGAGTAAATTTGTGTGAGCGATGAGGCGAAATAGTGCATATGAATAGAGATGGTGTGTTCTGTCTGTCCATCTGCTTCAGGGTCGTTCGCAGTGGTCATATCATGGTCACTGGGTAGGCGGGTCACAAACGCGACCCGAGACACACTAAAAGCCCTCGGGTCCCTATTCGCAGTCATACAGCTGGAAAACCTGTGAAGCCTCCAGACAGGGGTTCAGAACTAATGCGCGACTTCCTGAGCCGTGGCATTGTTGGGGATGAAATAAGGATACTTGCGTACTGTCGACAACGACGTACATGCTATCCTGACCAGTGACCTCCAACTGCCTAAAACTAAAAACCTAATACTGAAATAAGCTTGAATCTTTTCGGAAACCGGAGAGCCTTGAGCAAGGTCAGGTTTAGTAGAATCCCACGGCTTCAGCTGTTGACAGTCTAGGTATGGCAGTGCATAATCCCCTGCGGTGGCGCGCATCCCATGCCATGACAGAGCATGAGAGCTTTTCCAAAGTACCGTTGATGAGCATGGAGCAAACAATCATGAGCATGTGATTTGCGTGAGAGAGCACTGCCCACCGAGGTTGGAATGTACAGTTAACGGATGCCTGGTCTACTCAGAACCACAGCACGTAGTTCTCAACGTGGTAGGTCTTCACCTTTTTGCCATTCTGGTTTTGGCAGTAGTAGCTGGTGCATGGGTGTCA